TTTCTTGCTATATAGCTTCATTTTTTGCAAAGAAATTCAATGTCAAATAATTCATGCTTCTGCCACCTTCATCCTTTATTTAAATATATCAACACACACCATATATATATACATATGTATATATATTATATATGTATATATATAATATATATATTATGCAGTTGTTAAATATGAACAAGCCACCATATCATATCCAGCATATAGAAGTGACTTCAAATTCTGCAGTTGTGAAAGAGAGGAAGAAATAAATCTACTGGGTATTTGTAAAACCTTTTTATGATATTGATGAGTCTGGGGAGCTGCTGTCACCGACCATAATATATAGCAATATCATGTCCTGTAAAAGAAATGGATAGGAGCTAAGGGAAGGATATGTAGCAGTTTATAAAACATGTGTGAAAATCACCTTTACCTTGACAGTTGAGATGAATTAAATCTGCCTCACACCTTATATCTGTCTCTCTGCTTTAATCTCTACATTGATTTTTGACCAAATAGCCTCAGGAAATGAGATAATAAAATCACACCAGAGGAAACACAAATCATCCTCTTTGCTTGCTGTCTGATAGCTTTAGAGTTTAGCTTAACTTAACAATAACTGAAAAAAGAATTAAGTCAAAACATAAAACCAATGGTTGTCATCTTCCATCAATTATAATTTTTGCTAATGGATATAAAATCCAGTTGTTATTCTTTTAATCTGCCATGTAGATGTCAAAAACTATTTTGCATATGTTCAAGGCTTGAGGACACTAACAATACCTGCTATTACACTGTCACTTCCATCTGATGGAAAATTTTTGACATTGTTTATAATTATGTACAAATATATAGTTTTGTGAAAAATGTTGGGCATATGAAGGGCATTTTAACTAATTTGTAAAAGTTAAACAACAACACCTCCTAAAACCCATTCTCCTCATTTGCTTTATGAACTAAGAAGTTTAAAATCATTTTCTCAGCATTTACTAGATAAGACATTATTTCATATGTGTTTGAAAATGGCTCTATGCGTAGGATATTTTCTTGCCCTGTTTTTTTTTTTTTTTAACAAAAGATTAGCATCCATTTTGTTCTCTTTTTTTCTGTCCAGATCCAAAATAACTTCCGTGATGGAAGAATTTTTTTTTTTTAAGTAAGAAGTATTTCCTGCCTGTGCCTATAGGAATAGTCAATGTAAGACAATGCATTCTGTTAATTCCCCCACACACACATACACATCAAATATTCTTTCAATGAACATTCCTTGATGTTATTTAAAAGCAAATGTCTATCTGTCTTTCAGCTCATGACCATACCTAACTCATAAAAACCTACTGCTCTCCAGTAACTACCATCCTCCTTATATACAGCTCCAGTGGCAGTAGGGACAGAGGCTGCTGTTACATAAATCTTCCCTTATTTATTCCATTGCCAAAGGAAAGAGCGGTTTGCATTATGAGCAGAAACTGTGAGGGTCAGTTGCAGGATGAAAGAATTGCCTATAAATATTTAACCACTGCTAAGATAAGTGAACCCACTGAAACTAAAGAAGAGGGCAAAAAGGGAGTGAGGGGAGGAAAGAGGGGGTACGGAGGAAGGCAAGAGAAGGGAAGATCTGGTAGGCGGGGAAGGTGGGTATGTGAAAGCCAGGGAGGGTCTAAGGAAGGAAACGAGGGACAGGTTGAAAAATGGAAGTAAGAGGCGTAAGACAGACAAAGCAGTTGAGAAGAAAAGAATGGATGGAGAGGGAAAGGGACAGGGCAGGAGGAAGAAAAAGAAGGAAGCAGGAGAGAGAAGAAAGGCTAGAGGAAGTAAAGAAGAGCAGAGAGAAAAAAGAGAGAAGGGGAAGTGAAGGATAAAAAGAAGAGAGGGACAATAAATTGAAATACATTTTCTATTACTGGTAAAAATACTACTTTTGTTTTGTTTGTTGCTAGCATTTTTGACACAGAATATCTCTTGTCACTCACCATCTGTTATGACCAGCCTTATGACAAAGGTTTCCTTTTCTCCCGTGCTAGCCTCAGACCTGCATCTGTAAAGTCCAGAGTCAGCCGCCATGGCATTGGGGATGATGACACTCTGTATGCTCTCCTGGCTACAGTTGCTCCATATTCTTCTTAGGTACTTTGATGTGTATCTTGTCCCTTGAGAGAGGTTACAGGAAGCTAAGATGTCTACCTGATGAGGCTGGACTTTTTCCCACATGACTTGTTGCACTGGCCAGTTCCTAGGAAGCTGGCAATTGAGCGTGACATTTTGTCCAGTTTCTGCATACTGGTAGCCATTTGAGGATGCAGCTATCTCAAAACTATCTGAAAAAAAAAAGAAGCAGAGGCTTAGGCAGGTGGTCAGATGTTCACACCAAGAGAGAAAAGCTACCCAGGAACTCACACTGAAGTGATTGGTGATGTTACCTAATGCAGGTACTCCAAGATTAAATAGTATCTTCACTTAGCATTTTTCTAAGAGAATGGATTTTTCATTAAGGTCTTGTAGACTGAAAAGGGATACAGTTCTTGACACATATTCTTTGAAAGTCAGTTGGCTAACCAGGCAATAATAAATATAACAAAAAACCTTGGTACATTGACGGGGAATGTACTGTGTGTATTTATCTTTTTGATTGTTAAATAAAATACTGTTTGGCCAATGAGACAGCAAGTTAGACAGACTAGGAGTCAAAGAGGATTCTGGGAAATGTAGTAGAAAAGTTCTGATCCAGGCAGGAAGTGACATAGCAAGGAGACTCATATTTAAGCGAAAGAGAAACAGGAAGGGCCCTCTTTTCCCCTTCCTCCTCCAGCGGCAGGATGTGAGCCACTGGCAAGGAGGGACGCCAATAAGGCGTCCGATAAGATAAGTCTTATAAAATATATAGACATGATAATTAAGACTGAGCTAACAGATGAGAATGCTAGTCATTGGCCAAGCAGCTTTAAACCTAATACAAGTTTCTGTGTATACATTTGGGCCTAACTTGGGCTGGCGGCTGGTGTAAAGCTCACACGTGGCGGTGGGGCTCAGGCGGCTTTTGGTGGAAAGATTTATCATAACAGTACATTTTTAACAGTAATCATACATGGTCTAAATTAACAAAACTTAACCAGTAACTCCAATTTCTAGATTATAATATGAGACAATAAACTAAGGCTTTAATGGCCATGAAAAGATACTACATCATTTTTCATTAACTACATTCACTTGTACAGTAGTATCTAGTGCCTAGGTGGAGACTCACATGTAGTACAAACTTCTGGTGCCAAAAATATTCTCCAAAATTCCTACATTCAACCCACCATTTCTGGGGTTTACAGCACAAGTAAGCATCATCAAATATTTCAACGATTGTCTACTTTAGTATATTCTTGCAACCTTTGTGTGCCTTTTGGAGGTTTTTAAGGTTCAATTTATCTTCAAAGCAATAGGAAAATGTGATTAGCCTTCTCCACTCCTGATTTCTTACTAATGTAAAACATATACTGTCAGAGGCTCAGATACCTTGTGTAGTGAACACCGAAAGACTCTTGTGTTTAAAGTTATATCCAGTGTTAAGCTCTAGTACTATGAACATGATAGATATAACCTACATGAACAAATGTTTTTAGGGGTCCCCTGTGTTTTATGAGACCAGAATATTTGTGAACTTAATGTGGATACTAAAACTCAAAAATTGAAGTCTAAGATCAGGATAGCTGAAACAAGTGAAGTAAGCATCAGCTTCATCCATCCAAAGTCTTTCCTGCAACAAACAAAGGACCCTGATTTGTTAGCTAAGAATCTGAGCAGCAATGATGTCACAGAGCTTATGGGAAGGTGGGATGGAAAAAAAGAAGAGCATCTATGTTTCTTTGTTAGCTATGCTCACAGGTGGCAAGGAACAAGTGCTTGGGCTTATAAAACAATAATCATTCAATACGAAAAGAAAGAGAGGGAGGGAAGGCAATGGAAAACAAGAAAAATGCACATTTGAAAAAGAGCACAAATCTTAAGTGCAGTATAATTTGCTGTTCCTATGAGATTAAGACCTAATAACTACTGACACCAAAAACTAGTTGCAACAAGTGGCTCATGGTGTGAAAACTTTTGGGTATAGAAAAGCCACAACTGTCTAGTATTTCAGTGTGTGTTCCTGTAACCATTCAGCAGAAGTAACACTTTGCCCACAGACGAGGCATGCTGAAAATGTTTCATCTCTGAGCTATAACCCAACACAAAACAAGGAAAAAATGAACAGGAGAAAAAATGTAATAAGAAAATCAAAGCTTAGAGGAGAGAAGGAGGAAGTTAAGATTAAGATGGGGGAAGTTACTAGAAAAGAGAGAGGAAACAGAAGGAAAACACTAAATCAGAAACAACAGTATAACTCCAACTAAGAATCTAAGCAATAGTGGAGAGGCTACCTTAAATGTCCTTCCCCTGTAATGAGAATGATGACTACCTTAAATGCCTTAAATACCTAGAGCCCTCATCCAGAAGCTGATGGAAGCAGAAGCATATACCCATTAAATACCCTTATATTTCTACCTGACTCCGTATTGGTAATTTCCTACTATAAGGAAGGATGAGCAAAAAAGTCAAGACCATGCTGGAGAAACCTACAGAACCAGCTGACCTGACCAAGTGAGAGCACAGGGACCCCAGTGGTAAAGCTGGGGAACCAGCATTGGAACAAACCAAGCCCTCAGAATGTGGGTGCCAGTTAGGAGGCCTGGGCACTCTATGGGACTTCTAACAATGGAACCAGTATTTATCCCTAGTGCACAAATGGACTTTGTGAGCCCATTCCCCAAGGAGGGTTACTCTCTCAGCCCAGATACACGGAGGAGGGCCTAGACCCTCCCCTAAATGATATGACAGACTTTGATGATTTCCCCCATGGAAGGACTCACCCTCCTTGGGGAATGGATGGAGGATGGGATGGGGGTCAGTGGGGGTCATGGGAAGATGGGAGGGAGAGGGAGAACTGGGATTGATGTGTAAAATAATAGATAGATAGATAGATAGATAGATAGATAGATAGATAGATAGATAGATAGATAAACACCTACTGCTTATATGCAAGCACTCTAGGGCCTTCAGGGGCAGACAGGTAACATCCCTGGCTACAGGTTTTAGTGTTTGTTTTCAGGACTCACATTCGCAGCTCATTCTCTTCAGTATTTCTGACTCTACTCCCACCTCAGAAGCTTTCTTTAGGCTGTTTTCACCCTGGCCTCCTCTCAGGAGTTTCCCCATATGCTTTGGGAAATGACCTGCATTTATTTGAATGGACAAATCCATGAAGCACTGGAGAAAAATCTCTACCCATGAACAGCCGGACCTAAGGCATGAAGGGAGCTCTAGGGACAGACAGGTTCCAGTTCAGGCTCCACACAAGGACCCAGACCCACCTGCTTGTAGACTCAAACAACAGCAAAAATCAGTACAGCTGGTCCAAGGCATAGACAAGCTTCCCCTGTCCCCCCACCCCACCCCAGTCAAGTTTCATTCTAAGAGAGCTGACTTTTTGATCTGAAATGAAAACCAAGCCGCACATGAAGGTTGCTTGTGCTGCTATGCTCATCCAAGTGGAAGGCTGTCCAAAGTGACACTGAAAATAACAAGCATGAAGACCTGACATAAAGAAGAGGGCATGCCATCCTGACACACTGCAAACTCAAAGGTCAATCCATTTAAATAAGAGACAAAACTGCCATAGTTCATGGGCAGAAAAGGTTTGATTTTAATTGAATCCCAAAATGAAAAAAATCGTAAAAAACAATTTATTTCATACTTATAATTCAGACATGTACTAGTTTCTAAAATGAATATAAAATACTATTGTCTTGTAATTTTTTATTGACATATTCAATTTTACAAATGACTTGTCTGTCATGATAATAGACCAATAATAAAAAAGAATAGTTCTGTGCTTTATCTACTTTTCCAAGTACCACTCCACCTCTGGAGAACCAATCACTGCTGGATGTACTTATACTTCGTGTGCTCCCTCATATCCTTAGCCACTGACTTTCACCATCAGCACTCCACAGGCCTATCACTCAGTCTGTAGTCTGGGAAGCTCTTCCCATCACCCAGTGAGATATAGAAGTTTCTTCCAGAATCATTACACTCCCTCCAGGAGTGAGGGGGAAACACAAGAGGAAAAACAAGTGTTACATGTCTGGGAAAGCTCAAACCTGCAAGATTTCTGGATAAACCTGCCTGGGGTTGTAAAGTCAGGAAACAACTACTGGAGCAGCAGAAAGCTCCAGGACTAGTGCTTCCATGAGTTGTCACTGGTTTGGGGGTGCCTGAAGTTTCTTTGGGGTGATGTAGCTGTATTTGAGTCATTCCTGCTCCTGTAAATGACCCCTCACCCAGACTTCTGTTAGTTGCCTCAATAAAATCTTATTGGTTCACCAAATTTGGTCCATCATGAGATTCCTTTCTAGGGTGAGTAGATATGCATGTGTGTTACGCCTCCCAGGAAAGAACCACTAAATAACCTCATCAATATCTCAGAGCCCCTGACTTCTTTACACCAACTTCACAAACCAAACCTTTGTGTAAGCCAACTTACAGGTTATACCACTCTGTCTTGAGCCCCAAGAGCCACCCTTGCAAGAAATGAAAGATGGCAATCAATATTATTTTAATAAAAGGTGAATTAGCACTCCATATTGTAGTCAATACTGTTGTAATTTAAGAAAGGTGGCATGTGAGAGAAAGACACCAGGCAACAGGTTCAAGAGGGTTTTCTTTATTAGGAAAAGAGATCATAAAAAGGGGAAAGGGGAGGACAGAGACCAGCCTCCATAGACAAGAGCTGTAGGAGAGAGGAGTGAGAAAAGGAGGGGAAGCAGAAAGAGTGAGAGAAAGAAAGACAGAGAGACAATGGGGAGGTGAGCAGGGCCCCTTTAAAAGGGAAAGAAATGTATGGTGCTCTTAGTGACTGCAGCTGAGAGTGTATCCTGTCACTCAAGGACAGGCCAGTGCAGATGCCTGAATATTAACAAAAACAATATGCCTTTTAATTGTTTTGGGTGGCATTGACATCTGCAATAATCCTCATATGAGAAAAATATTTTAAATAAGATTTTAATGTCATAGTAAATTAAGAGTTCTACACAAAGGTAAGATACATCTGAAAATTCATGAAAAGGCATTCATGTTTCCTAAGAAGTACTAATCATGCAAAGCAACCAAGCTTCACTCTAACCAAACTTTTAAAGGTACCACCAAATTGCAGAGCTACAAAGAGTTGAGAAGTGTGTTATATGACACCTGAGAAGGCAGAACATTGGACTACACAGAACTCAAACTTATGGCA